TAAAGACTTCTCTGTTGACACCCACCCCTTGGCGCTCATATGACCTTATGCAGTTGCGAGCGTCGTAAAACCCTCTACTATAAAAAAAAAAAAGAAGAAAAATGCTTTCTAAAACCAAACCTTTTTCTGTTTTTGGCTTGAGTGTGGTTTATACCTGGTTCTGTTTGCTCCACAGCTGGTCATTGAGACAGCGGCCGGGGCGTCGGTTGCCGCTGCTTTCTCTGATCGACTACGGAAGATGGACCCGGACTTAAAGAACGTTGGGGTCATTTTGTGTGGTGGGAATCTGGACATTGAGAATTTGCCTTTTTGAAGGGGGTGAGGAGAGGTCGAGGAAGGGGGTGAGGGGCAAAGTTGAGGTGGGATGGTGAGGAGGGGATTAAGATGAGGAGTGTGAGAAGGGATGGAGGAGGCGCTGATGATGAGTGAGAACTGGGGTCAGGTGGGGTAGGTGAGGAAGTGGATTATGAGGGAGGGTGAAGAGGGAGGTGAGAAATGGAGCTGTGGAGGATGAGAGTAAAAGAGACCTGTTCTTTGATGATGAGGCTCCTAGTCTTGGCAGCCTTAGGTTAACGGGGTAAATAATAGTATTTTTCTTGGAGGGATTTTGTTTCTGAGGAGTAAATTTTCCTCTGTAAGTGGATACATTCTTATTTTACGCCCATGTGCATGCATGCACATGCGTCTGTTTATGCGTGTTTGTATGGTCAGTTTATTTGTACTGACACATATTATTTTATAATATTTATATGTTATTATCTCTATTTTATCTGCATTTTTATAAAAAGATATTGGAGTGGGTGGTTGGCTGGTGGTCTGGTATAGTATGTTCTTTCCTTCTGATCTATTTTCTTTCATCTTTTTATCTCTTCTCCATCTTTACTTGGTATGTTATTCTCTAGTAACACCTCTAATCTTCGATGATCTATTTGTGTGCTCAAATTTTTTTTAAAAACCTGTATTATATAATATATATATATGAGATAAATAGATAGAAAATGTGAAAGAGAAAGAGAGAGTTTATGTGTGTGTGTGTGTATCTGTGTATGTAAGAGAGAGAGAGAGAGAGACCAAAAAAAACCTCACACATATCCTTGTTAATTAATGAAATTTGTACAACTTTATGTGAATATGCAGTCAAAACTCTGAAGGCTTCTTATAATCTTATATAAAGTTTTATGCATAGTCACTGTTTCAGATCTTGGGATAGTGACTATGTTATGTATGTTTGTTGTTCTACTCTTGTCGAGGATACTAATATCTAGGTCACCTTGAGACAACAGAAGGAAATTCAAGGATGCGTGACACTTCAAAGTGAGGTTTTCCATTTACAGAATCTTCACGAGATTTTTGTGATATAAGTAAAGATTCTTTACTAAAAAATGTTTTGTGATAAATGAATACAAGTCGTTCAGCCTCACCTCAGTGAGCTGTATGTAGACATTATTGAGTTATTTGGATTGACAGGCCTACTTCTTTTAAAAACTCCTGAGGTGGGATCAGTCATGGATGTGAGGTAGCAGTGACTGGAGACTGGACTTGTCCATGAAACACCTGAAGTACCGCAGGTGACTGCTGCTTGTTCACGCTCTTGAAGTCCGTAGTTTGACCTCAAAGTACATTTGACCAAGGGCTGACCGACTCTCAGTTATCTGGAAAATGTCAGGCCTGGTTTAGTTTTTCTTAAGGCTCGTTTGTTTAAGAGTTAATGTATCGGACATGTTCATTTCTTTCTGTTTTGACCAAATGCTCACTGTAACATATGCGTGTATGACAATGTTGTTGTTATTTTATTGATTGAATAAATCAATTTTATTATTCAATATTAATATAATATATATATTATATAAAATATAATTAAATAATGTCAATATTATTATTAGCCTGTTTTAATACTGTACTGTTATTTTAGAGGCAGGACCTCAGAATCCCATCTCTGATACGACCAAGCCAAAGTGGAGAACTTTAAAAACTCTGTAATACAACCCAAGCCCGAGAGCATCCCGTTGGGGATTTAAACCAGGGCCATCCGCTCACTAGCCCAGTATGATACCATCTGAGTTACCAATGCACCCATGTATGACAAGCTGAAGGTTGTTCAGAATACAAGAATTTGATCCGTTACTATATTTTATCTGTTACCATACGTAGATACTATACATTTTAATATGTTATTATGCGGATACGATGTATTTTCCAAGAAGTACAGACATAACAATATTATCTGCATGCTGTTTTCAGTATATTCTGCAGCATTCATAAAATTTATCATTTCTATCTAGTCTGGAATTTCTGTATAGAATACAAGGCCAGTTTCTATGTATGTTACATTTGCTCCCTGAATAAGTGACAGACAGAGCTTTGTACAAATGCAGTTAATGTGTTATTTGTTGTGTGTATTCTGAGTGTCGCCTTGTCTGGGTCAAAGAGTTTGTTTTTTTGTTTTTGTAAAGTGTTTTACGGCGCTCGCAACTGCATAAGGTCATATGAGCGCGCGGGACACACCTAATATTTTCAGTTGGTAGGAAATTTTGAATTTTGCCCGGGTGGCGGCCGAAGCCTACTCTTATCGATTTTAGGCCACCAAGGGATCTTTAACGTGCGCAACTTGCACACGGGCCCTCCGAGATTTTTTGCCCTTGTCCGAGAAGGCTAGGTGTAGATCTTTCCTACCAGAAGATCAGGGGTGTGGCTGAAAGACAGCAGTAAGAAGAAGCGAAGGAGTAGCAGTAGAAAGGCTGCAGAAAGAATCAGAAGCCCAGAGGAAGGGGCAAAGGAGGTGAGGGGGATGGGGCAGAAAGTGGAGACGAAAGCAGACGACAGAACATTGCTAGAGAGCAGGAAATGAGGTGAAAGGAGACAAATTTAGAGAAGAAAATTTTTCGGTCGCTACCCGGAAGCGAACCCGGGACCTTTGAATGAGAGGCCAACACCTTTACCTCTAGGCCACGAGAGCCCCCGGGTCAAAGAGTGTGTGTCACCTTTGTAAGTATACTTGTACAATGGAGTTTGCTTAAACTGAAATATCTGAGACGACTGGATTTTCTTTGTTTTAGTTCGGTTTTCGATCTCTAGAGAGGTTTCTCAAATACGAGGACGACAAAAAAAGAAATTGTGGATTATATTTTTATTTTCTTTTGGTTTACCTCCATTGTCAGATTAAACGTGTTCGTTTTTAGTGGGCTTCACTACTGTATGTATTTAACATTTATACTGCAGAGGGAGGGGAAGGAGAGAGCGAGAGAAAGAAAAAGAGAGAGAGAGAAAAAGAATGCATCCTATGCGGTCTTATTTTGTAATATTCCTGTTGCTTGTTGTCTTAGCAGCTGGAAAACCGCCTTAGACTTAGAGGACTTTTTCTACTAACCCCAAAGTCTTACTCGTGTCTTTTCATTCAATGCAGATGTCTTGGGTGCTGAGGTATGAGTCTGTGCTTTAGATTACAAACTTGATCTACCATTCAGAAATTCTGCCTCCTCCCTCGCCTCCTCCTCCTTCCTCTTCTTCTTTTTTCTTCTTCTTCTTCTTCTTTTTCTTCTTCTTCCTTCTTCTTCTTCTTCTTCTTCTTCTTCTTCTTCTTCTTCTTCTTCTTCTTCTTCTTCTTCTTCTTCTTCTTCTTCTTCTTCTTCTTCTTCTTCTTCTTCTTCTTCTTCTTCTTTCTTCTTCTCTTCCTCCTCCTCTTCCTCCCTCCTCCTCCTCCTCCTCCTCCCTCCTCCTCCTCCTCCTCCCCCCTCCTCCTCCTCCTCCTCCTCCTCCTCCTCCTCCTCCTCCTCCATTCTACCTGCCTGAGTTGTTTTGGTTCCCCATTGACACAATTTAGATTTTTTAATTTTAATAGACGGGCTACTTTGACCCTGCCTGCAAGGGCCAACTCGGGTTAACAGGGGTGCAATTTCCAAGCAGACAGGTGGAGATGCTAGTTTACCTTCGTCAACCTGTGACTAAGAGTGGTTGGCGGGTGCTCTGGTCTGGTTTGTTCCTTCTTTTCTATTTAACGTCTATTGACCGTATTGGTCCTCTTTCTTTTCTTTGTATGTTACCCTGATCTTATAAAAGATAAAACATTTAGTCTTCAGCTCTTGATTGACCTAATTGTATTAAAAGTGATGTAAAGCTCCTACTAAAATGAAATAATTTAACTGAGACCTATAACAGGCTTGCCATCCTTCCTGAATTTTTCAGGAAATTCCAGAATTGCCATCGTCGTGTGATGTCTCCCCCCCCACCCAAAAAAATATTTTTTTTTAAAATTATTTTTTCTTAGAAAAGGCATAGAAATGCTGAGGATGAAGGAATATATGTAGTAGCTGTACTGTTACATTCTCATCTCTCTCTCTCTCTCTCTCTCTCTCTCTCTGTCTCTGTCTCTGTCTCTCTCTCTCTGTCTCTCTCTCTGTCTCTCTGTCTCTCTCTCTGTCTCTCTCTCTGTCTCTCTCTCTCTGTCTCTCTCTCTGTCTCTCTCTCTCTCTCTCTGTCTCTCTCTCTGTCTCTCTCTCTCTCTCTCTGTCTCTCTCTCTCTCTCTCTCTCTCTCTGTTTCTCCTCTGGTTTGTTTGAGCTGTTTTTGTGGTATGGGTGTTGGTTTTTTTAGTAGCCTATCACAGAAGTGTGTGTCCGTGGCGCTCGGGAGCAATCAAAATTCCAGAATTCAGTATCTCAAAAGTTGGCAAGCCTGCTATAAGGTTGTGAGTCCTGTTGTGATACTATCCCAGAGTCTTTCATGTACCTTACTGTACGTCATCAAATGACAGTCGAAATTGTCTAAGACAATCGAGGAGAAAAGTTGCCGTCCTAGGCAGATGGCCATCTTACTACACTCTATCATTGTAATTTTTTTTCTTAAATGTAGGGGGGGGGGATAGGAAGTAGCCGTGTGTACAGGTGATTATTGTATACAGGTGGACGTTAGTTGAGTTAGAGCAGGTTTGACTGTATAGAATGCATGTACAGATGAAGAAGCTGGTAGACTTGAAAGCAATATTTTGATATTATCTATAAATTGTATATTATAATCATCCGATAATAAGATTTAAGATGCCCAAACTTTTTCTTGGCAAGCACTATGACTTTTTCTTAGTGGCTGTTTCATACATTACCACTCTCAAACAAATCAACGTTTTTAACTTACGGTACCTGACTGCTGTGCAATAATCAATAAGGAGCAGCCAGTTGGTGGCTTTTAAGCTCAAGGGGGTTATATCGAAAAATGCTGTTTTATAAGAAAGTCGAAGGTAAAGTTTTTGCCCCTTGTTCTGTTTCTCCTAGACAAGGAGAGTTTTCTCTCTGACCAAACAAATATCATCATCATCCGGTGC